CTTGAAATCTTATTTCGACAATCTTAAAGCATATCTGAAGCACTTTTCAACGAAAAGCTTAAGCTGTCGAGCATTGCGAAAATAAAACAAATTAATGAAAGTATGTAGGAAAAAGAAAGGAGAGCTGCTTGCTGTTCGAGAGCTGAACAGAAAGAAAAGCAAACGCTAAAAATACAATTTTAGAAAACAAAAAAATTAAGAATGGCAGGTAAGGTAACGAGCGCATGTTGAAAGGCAGAGCAAGGTGCGTAGAAAAGGTAAAACAAGAAACTCACAGGACATTCGAGTGCCACAGCACGCTCAGTGAAGGACGAATGCTGATGTAAATTTAGCTAATCCTGGAAAATCCCATGCATGCGAAAAATATTTTAGATGAATGAAAAAGGACTACAGAGCAATGCAGCCAGTGGGTTCTGTGTTCCGTTGGTGTTGGTGCGCACAAGTAAAGGGATATGTATGTGTGTATGTGACTATGTATATACATACTTAAATGATGATATTAACGTTTATACATATTTTGAGAGAAATGTTGCGAATTATTTCAAATGACATTTTCCAAAATCTGCGCCTTTCATTTAAACATTATATACATACATATTTTAAGCCGAGACAACGATGAGCTGCTTACCATTTGTATGTTAATTAAGTGCGACTTAGTATCGTCTGCGGGCGAAATTTAATCCGTAGGAATAATTTTAAAATTATCAAAGCACGACGACAAAATAATGTCATATCATAGCAAATCTCTTCTCAGTTGTCATGACGCATCGTTAATTAACAAAACAACACAAAAATTACGTAATTATGATATCAGAATGAGTAGATAAGCGACAGGCGAGTCGAGACAATCAAAATTGGGCGGATACAAAGAAACTGAATGAAAACCAAAACGGCATGGAGTGCAGAAATAAAGGGTGAGAGATAAAAAGTTAAATGGAAAGTTTTAGATTTTGATAAAAAAAAAACAAAAATAAACTTTAGTAATTTTTTAAGTAAAATTTTGGTTTCAATTGTTTTTACAGACCAGAGAAATATAAAATTTTGGTTTGTATTCCAATTTAAAATTATGTATGTATGTAACAAATTTAAATGAAATTTTAAAAATTTTAATTAAACAAAAATTATAATTAAAAAAGTTCAAGTTCAACTTCTATTTTTTTTTTTAATATATAAAATTAAAAAACAAAAGTTATGAAAAAATTTAAATTTATGAAATTTTTTAATGGGATAAACTAGAATTTGATAAACTTTTAATTAAGTTTGAAAATTTTCAAAGTCTAATTTTAAATTTTCTTCTAATTTTTCCTCTTGCTTTATTTCTGTTGATTGG